AGATGATGAGGGAAAAAACCTGAAACAAACAAACAAACCCCCACAGCTCTGCCACTTACTAGCTCTTCGATCCTATGCAAGTTATCCTTTTTAGCCCCAATTTCATTATCTGAAAATTGAAGGTGGTTATGATACTTTCCTTTTAGTTGTTATGAGGATTAAATGAATTGATGCTTGTAAAATGCCAAGCTTCATGGAAGCTTTAATAAATTTTAGCTGTTATTATTGTTGCAGTCCCCATTATTTATCTATGAGCATTTTGAAGGCAGACAATAGTCCCTTGCTTAGTAAAACCATACCCAGAACTGCCAGGGTTTGACCAGAGAAGATTTCACCTTTTGGAAAAGGGATTAGAGCTGGGGCTCTAATTCTGTTCCCTGAGCTTCGGGTTCTCTCACTTCAAGCTTGTGTGAGGCCTCATCAGATTATATGGTAAGCAGTTAAATATCCCAATTTGACATGTGATAGGAGACTAGAACCCAGGTCTTATGATATCTGGGTCTTTTGACTTTCATTTTTAATGCAGTCAACACCACTTTACTACTCCACCTGGGTTTCAGTTATCAGTTGCTGTGAAGCACACCACCCTAACACTATGATTTGTTATTTCTCACAAGTCTGTGTGTTCGCATAGCAACTCTCCCTTTGCTGTCCCCTGGGCTTACTAACGTGAGTGCAGTTAGCTGGAACTGGGCCCTGTTAGAGTGGCTGAGTAGCTGGCTGCTGCTCTCCCTGTGACGTTTCATTCCGGGCTGTTTCATGGCATGGCTGTCTCAATGTAGCTTTTCTGAGAAGGCAAGCCCTATGCATAAATGCTTATCAAGAGCTTGTCTGTGAAACATCTGCTGACGTCCACTGCCAAAGCAGGACACATGGCCAAACCCAGACTCTGTAGGAGAAGATTACACAAGGGATGGATATCAAGAAGAGTGACTCTCCAGGGGCCAATGTACAGTAATGTGTGTCTGTGTGTGTGCATGCTCAGTCTCTCAGTCGTGTCTGACTCTTTGAGACCCCATGGACTATAGCCCTCCAGGCTCCTCTGTTCATGCAATTTTTCAGGCAAGAATACTGGACCAGGTTCTTACTTCAGGGGATCTTCCGGACCCAGGAATTGAACCCACATCTCCTGCATTGGCAGGTGGATTCTTTATCACTCGAGTCACCTGGGAAACCCTGCCTCAGCACATTTTAGGGTCATCACTTCCAGATCTGGTCAAAGAAAATATAGTAACAGTTGACCTAAGTTCCCACCCAAAACTTAAACTTTAAATAACATATATGTCTGTCATAAGTGATATAATACCTTGCACAAGATAGATCTTTAATTTGTAAATACCAAAATGAATGAATGAACGAATAAATCAGTAAAATTACCAATGGCAAGAATTGGCAAATAATGTTCTATAACATTAATAGTTACATGTTGAGATGTCTCAATAAAGTTCTTAAAGATTATAGTTCTTCATAGAATATAAATTTTTAAAATACAAGAGTTAGATCTTTGATTTTCTTCCATCTGTATCACTATGCCCCATACAAGTCCCTCAATACCTACTGGCTAATGAACTAGATAAAATTACACTTGGAATGTCCCTATTTCTTTGATAAAGAACACACAGTAAGAGAATCAAATAAGATACTTTTTCTTGCCAGACTTCTTCACTTAGAGGCTGCCTGCTGCTACAAATAACAAAAAAATTTAGTTTAACTGCCTTGAGCAATAAGAAAATGTATAGGTTTATTTAACAGGGCCTCCAGCAGGTATGCCTCAATGGTGTTTAACATGACAACTCAGTGAAGTCATTCAGAATCTTAAGTTCTTTTCATCTTGTCACCCTGCTGTATCCAGTATTGGCTTCATCTTACGGCTGGTGCCCCTCATGGTGAGAGGTGGACTGCCAGCTGCCAGCCACACATCATTCTCCTTCATTAAATGTCAGTGGGAGAGAGATGGAGAGAGCTTGCTGGCTTCCATGGCTCTCTCAGAAGAGTTAAGGACCCCCTTCCTAGATGTCCCTCAACCTTTCCGCCAAGTCTCGTTGATCTTAAATGGATCACGTGACCATTTCTGAGCAGGACATGGTGGTAAGCAGGAGTGGACTAATTTTGATGTGCTTAGACTCATTAAGGCCAAGTCTTGGAGTGGGAGAGGAATCAGCTTCCCTCAAAACATGACTGTTCATAAGAGGCATAGATAATAAGAACCTGAAAACTGCTAGAAAAGAAAAAATGGATTCAAGGAAGGCAACTGACAATTACTGTGAGCATACTACCTGCTGAAAGGCCTGATTTCTCTATTACAGTGTAGCACCATTGAGTGCATTCATCTTACATAGATTCTCCACGATCTCTTGCTTCCTTTCAGGTAATATTACTTGATTGGCTTTTATTCCTCCAGTTATCATATACTGAATAGTAGGGTGAATCTAAGGAGACAAGCTGACAGGACAATCCCCCTACCCACCGATCAAGTATTTTACATACATGAGTCCTAAGAAGTAAGGTAATGAAGATATCATTGTATTGATGGGAAAACTAAGACTCAAAAAGATTCAACAAACAGACCAAAGTCACAAGCTACTATGTCGTAGAGATGAAACAAGTCCAAATCTTTAGGCTCCAAAGACTCTGCTCTTTTCATTATGTTACATTGCCTCTCAACTTTGCAAAACATGTTTCACTTAATTAAACTATTCATTTGTATTAGTATTTTATTAATATCTTCCTTTTGATTGAGTCAGAACATTTTAGGAATGAGAGAGAAACTCCTCAAATTTTCTACTTCCTTTAGTGTTTCCTAGGAAGTGGCTTAGATAAAAACATGTTTTAAATCTATCTTCTCTTTCACAAATGAGCTAGACTGTTGTATTTTAGTAAATGATTTATAGCCAGTTGTGGTTTTAGTTATACTCCTGGCTGTTTGCTACATACTTTCTGCTTCAAATTATGTAATAGGTCTTGTTTACTTATTTTAGCTGTATGTTACTGTGTGGCTAGCTCTTTTTAACTGCATAGAATACCTTTCCCTATTCCCCAGTGGCTCAGTGATAAAGAATCTGCCTGCAATGCAGGGGCTGCAGGAAATGATCCCTGGGTTGAGCAGATCCTCTGAAGGAGGGCATGGTGACCCACTCCAGTATTCTTGCCTGGAGAATTCCATGTTCAGAGGATCCTGGTGGGCTGTAGTCCATAGGGTCACAAAGAGACAGGACTGAAGCAACTTATAATGCACATCTGATGGGCCACCCCCCTCAAAGTAGTCAGATGTTCTTCAGTGCCCTGACACCCTGCCTGGAACCCCTGTTAAATCTCATCTGACTGTTCTTGTGCTGTACTTGTCAGATTGTCTCCTGCATATGATTACAAAGTCTTTGAGGGAAAGATGTGTCTTATTCACCTTAGCATCTCCAATGCCTAGCAGGTTTCTTGGCACAAAATAAGCAAGTAGTAAGTGTTTATTAATGAATTAAAGTAATGCTATAACCCAGATTTAGGTTCATGAAGACAACTGTGTTCTTTTCTCTTTAGGTGTCTTATTCTTGGTATATTGCATGCCTCAGCAGGATAAGAAGGATTAAAGAGAGGAAGGAAAATCTGTAACTAACATTTTTGGACAAGATTTTGGAGGGAGGTAAGCCAAGTTTAATGAAGATATCTTTCTGTAAATCTTTTATTGCAGTCTATCTTTGCCTGACTCATATGATGATTAATCAACAAATGTGTTTTGGGTGCCTACTATGTATCAAACATTGTCTAAGAGTGTGAGATACATCAGTGATCAAAACAAAGAAGGACCTCAAAGAGCATTATCTCCCCAGTGAACTTTACCAGTCATTTCCTCTTTCTGAATCTTAGTCCTACATTTGTGCAGGAACCTGAAACACTGTAATGGAAAGCTTGCAGACTCTCAGATGAAAGACACTGGTAAACACATGGATATTTGTTCATCAGTGCTGCTACTTCTCTGTAGAACCAAGGACAGTTAGGAGGAAGAGGTCAGGACTAAATCTGCCCCTTGACTTTGTTCTCAGCAGCCCACATTAGTAGACACTGCCTACTCATGTTTTATATATCCGTGCAGCATTGGGAGGTTGCAGCTTTCTTCCTAGCTGCCAGTCTCCCTAAGGCTCCACCTTGTACTGAGCCTGTCTCCTATGCAGTACCCAGGTACTTCCCTTCTCTGGTCTGCTGGGGCTTTTGTGCTGAAAGGCTCCACCTGTTCACAGCATCGCAGCTGTAGAGGCTGGTCTGGACACAGCAACCATTTCCTACGAAAACTGGGTGTTTATTAAAGGTTCCAAGGGAAGCTTTTATGTCTCCCTCCTACAATCCCAGCTTCTCCTGAAGTGGAAGCTGGACTGAAAATAAAGACCACACTGATTTTTTTTTTTTCTGAGAAAACACAGTACCATATATATATTTTTAAAGTCCTGATTGCTCTGTGGGAAATGTTTTTATTTCACAAATACTCTGTGGCTCTGAAGTGACAGCAAGATTACATTTCTGATAGAATCAGCCGTACAGTTTCCAGGCTCCCCAGGGAGAACAATGTGAGGCTATTCCTCCCAGAATGAGAGGCGCCTTCTCTGGTCCAAAGGTACAGTTAAACACTATCCCAAATAAGTGAAAACGGGGTTGCACATAAAAGAATGAGAGCTCGGCACTTTAGCTAAAACCAATGATCTTAGCCAGAAGACTATGGGATCAAAGAAGAACTGCAAAAATAACTCTAACTTCAATTTTTCAAATTCCCAACGGGTCACTCTCTCGTCTCCAAATGGGGGACATGTGACAAAGAAAGGAGAAAACCGGGAAGAGTGTAAAATGTAAACATTATAAAGAAATTACCATAGGGGAGTGGAGGGCAGGGGCAGCTTCAGGGTGAGGCTCTCAGAGACCCTCCTGGTGGCTGTGAGCTAGAAAGACCCCGGCTGGCCTCGTGTTGCGCGGAGGTGGCACCGCAGCGACAGATGACCCATCCCCGGCCATCGAACAGCCTAGAAGACGCTTTCGCAGGAGCAGGGCGGCGGCCGGGGGCGCGGCGGGGGTGGGCGCAGGTAACCCTGCTCGGGCTGCTCCCGCCGGGCGTGGTGATAATGCGGGTGGGGCCAGCGGTGGCGGTGGAGCGCCTGGTGGCCCCGGGCCCCCTCCTCGTCCTCCGCGACCCCCTCTGGCGGGCAGCACAGCGCGCCCAGGCGCCTCCGCAGGCGCTGCCGGAGCCGACAGCCGCCCGCCTGGAAGAATAGGTAGACGAAGGGATCGAGGGCGCTGTTGGCCACCCCCACGAGGCGCAGCGCCACCGCCAGGTCGTCGGTCTCCCAGTCCCCCACCGGTCCAGACGACCACGTGGCCACCAGCCGGGCCGCGAAGTAGGGCAGCTCGCACCCCACGAACAGCAGCGCCAGCACCAGGCTCATCTTGAGGCTCTGCACCTTGGCACGGGGCAGCACGTTGGGCGCGGGGGCCTGGCCGGGACTGGCTGACCTGGGTGCCGCCGCCGCCGATGGGGCTTGGGGCGGGCGCAGCCGCCAGGCACGGAGCAGGCGGACGCCCGCGACGCTCATGACCGCGGCCGGTGCCGCGAAGCCCGCCAAGGCCTCGTAGAGCGCGTAGAGTATCAGGTGCCAGCGTGGCAGCGGCGCGAAGATGTCTTGGCAGCGGCGCTCCCCCGGCCAGGCGCGAGCGGGCGGGGGCGCCGCGGGCGGCGGCGGGGAGGGGGCGCCCCCGCGCACCACGAAGGCGGCGGGCAGCGCCAGCAGCAGCGCCAGCAGCCAGCCCAGGGCGGCGAGGGCGCGCGCGGGCAGCGGCGGGCCCTGCGGTCGGCGCACGGTGCGCTGGCGCTCGAGGGCGATGAGCGCCACGAGGTGGGCCGAGGCGGCGCGGCCGGACGCCCTCAGGAGGTGCACGCAGCGGCACGCCAGGTCGCCCGCGGCCCGGCGCGGCTCGCCCAACAGTTCCCAAGCCAGCTGCGACAGCGCGGTGCCCCCGCCCGCGTACAGGTCGGCCAGGGCCAGCTGCACCAGTAGGAAGTCCATCTTGCGACGCTTGGGACCTGCCCAGGGCCCGCCGCTGCCGCCGCACAGGCGACAGAGCACCGTGGCGTTGCCAGCCACCGTCACCACCAGGATGACCCCCAGGCAGACCAGGCGTACGCGGCGGCTGGGCGGCCCGGACGGCGGCGGAGGCGGGGGCCCCGGGACTGGGGCTCCCTGTCCGGAAGTCAGGTTGAGACCCCAGCCCAGCGAGATGGGTACGGAGAGGTTGGGCGCCGGCGACGGAGTTGAGGGGCTGAAGGGAGCCTCCATCCTTTGCCTGGAGGAAGAGGAGGTACCGAAAAGGGCAGGCAAACCGAGGAAACCAAGGTGGAGGCGAGGCTGCGTGGAGTTCCCAAAGTTAGTTGAAAACGCACACGCGCGAAGAGGGAGATGGATGCGGGTAGCTTTGCGCCTTAGTTTTTATAGGTTGTCCTCGTCATTTGTCACTCAAATGGGGGGTTGTACACTGGAGGCACACACATGATCCCTCTTCTCCACCTTCCTCTGCGCGTCTCCCCTCCCAATCCCGGTAGATCTCCTTCCAGTCTCTGCCGCAGCCCCGCGATGCCCTCGCAGGAGTCGCAAACCCCTGGGCTTTAAGAATCTCTCCCGTTGGCTGTTTACATAGAACTCAGCCAGACACGACTTAGAGACCGAACAACGAACAGCCAGATAGAAAGGCGCTTTGCCCGGCCATCGTTAACCCGGACCAGCACACTGGGGAGGAAGGTCCTGAGGTCCTGATTGAGGCTGTACCCCTCAAAATGGTATCAGAATGGCAGTAGGAAAAAAAAAAATAGAAAAGGCACTGGTTTTGATTAAAATGAAAAGAGAAAGATTTGAAATGCAATGGATCTGCACTAGCGTGGGAAAAACAGGAACACAAGAAAACGAACAGTGTTTTGAGCCGAGGAGCCCGACGGATAAATCTTCCTCTGGCCAACAACCAGAGTGTTTTATTTGGAGAGAGCTCAAGTCGAGGGTATTGGCTGGCAATTAGGAGTAGCAGTGGTTTGCAGATTGTTTCAAAAACTCCCCATTACTAGAAACAGCAGATCACAGTTGTTCTCCTTGATGTAAAACTCATGTCATTAGTCTGAAGAGGGCATTAATAGGTTTTATGCAAATGGGGTAGTGCATTGATTGCCTTTCTCCTAATATTTTCACTCAGTGCTGGATGTATCATCATGGCTCGTCATTCTCTTGATTCTATTTTTCAGCAGATGGGAGGTTGCTAGGAGTGACTACGCCTCCAATAAGCCTAGAGAAAAGGTGACTAAGAAAATGATAAGGCGGCCAATTTTTAAAAAAGACATCCAACTCACAGGAAATGGTTTAGATTAAATGCTATCTCTTTTTATTTCAGCCCTACCTCCTCACAAATTTTAGTTTTCCTGTTGGAAGCATCAATTTGTCTTTTATGCACTCTCCACATTAATAATGGTGAAAGGAGACTTCTTGTGCTTCCTGGTCTGGGTGTCTGCTGGGGTTCACATTCCCAGACTGAGATGTGCAGGATAGGTGGGTTTGGTGGGTGCAGCGGATGTCTCTGCCAATTGCAGTGGGAATCTCATTTCCCAAGCCATTGTCCTTTGACCAGAGAACTTTGCCATTTTTATTATATCCCCAGTGCCTGTCACTGGACCTGACACATAGTAGGTATCAGTAAATTTTTTTTTTGAGTTGATGAATTAATGGATGTGTGATGCATTTCAGAAAATTTTGAGCAATGTTTCTACCTTGATTATAAATCCATCAACCTAAGGGGAAAAAATGCCTTTTATTCCTATGCCAGTATGATCCAGAAGCTCTCAGGGAAGCTCTGGGGAGGTATAGGAATAGCCATTATTGTTGGAACATTTAAGAGGTAGGGTGATAGCCTTGGGAAATGAAACTCCTGGTTTAATTTTCACATTCTCCCCTCAGAGGATTTTGCCCATGGCCTTTCTCTGTATCATATACATCATTTTGGCTTATGAGCCACTTCTTCCAGGGAGCTATCTCTGAGCAATACTCATAACTCAGTGATTCTTCTAGCCAATATCACCTTAATCTTTCTCAAGATAATTCTATAGTTTGTCTCAAATTTGTTGAAATGCTTTCATACAGCAAAATAAGACTCTACCAGCAAAATTACATTTTATAGAACTTTGCTAAGACCTGATAAAACATTGATATGAAAAAACCCAATTCTTCAGGAAATTCTTTAGGGAATTCCGTGGTGGTCCCGTGGTTAGGACTTTGTGCTTTCACTGCTGAGGGCCTGGGTTCGATCCCTGGTCAGGAAAGTAAGATCCTGCAAGCCATGTGGCATGGCCAAAAGCTTTTAAAGTAAAATTAAAAACATAGATTCTTCTCAAAGTAATACCTGCACATAGTTGGACAATCAGCTAGAACTAGATGGCTGGTAACAATGTGAAGTTTCCCATCCACACATCCTCATGTCTCATTCCCCTCTTCTAGAGAGGAGCCAGTTTATTTCTATTTCTCTTCTGGCATTTACTTAACTTCATAATAATGTATAATACTATTTATTGCTTCATTGATTTTAGATATTATCTGTTGGTTTCTCATTAGGTAAGGCTTTAGCTCTCACACCCTTTTCCCATGTGATCTCTTTTCCTGTACTGTTAATACAGTAATATTGTAATTTGGGGTTAGATCTATATGCACTTTTCACACTATTTGGAAATGAAAACAATGACGGTTGCAATGTGCTGTGAGTGTCATCACTTCCCCTGTACATTAGTAACTACTTTGTCTTAAACTTCTCGCACTGGGTAGGTCTTGCTGTGCCTTAAGGATTCCCTCACAAGCTGGTCCCTTGTGCATAATTTCCACAAGGTGAGTTTCATAACATGACATAGCACCTCCCTGTTGCTTTTTGGAAACCTTCTTACCAAAGACCTCCGTTTCCTCCCAGCATGGGCTGGGTCCTCTCTAGGCCTGCTGCCTGTTGAGCATCCCAGAAATGTCCCTCTGTTGTCATCAGAGAAACTCTCTGCCTTTCTCTTCAGTTGGAGTTCCTGTTTCTTGGATCTCCTTTCTTTTTCCTTGATTTCTTGCCCTTTGGTAGAACACAGCATCCAATGTGTCATAAAGTTAAAGGACTGGACAGAGGCTGAGGAGAGAGCAGAGAGAGCCCTCAATGTACCTGTTACTGGTACAGTCACGTGGATCCAATCTAGACAGGTTGCCTTCTGGTCCAGATGCATCTGGGCACCTCCTTAACCATCACCCTAGAGACTCCTTTCGCTTAGCTTTGGTTAGTTCTCCTGCTTTCTATTTTCATGTGTTTTCTTCTTCATTGGTTTATTTCTTTGCTTGGGTAGAAAGCATCCCTCAGTGGCTTCCTGAAAAAGGGTAACTTTCGGGGACCTTGCATGTCTGAAGATTTCTGTCTTTAACCTTCATGCTTCCCTGATGACTAGGCTGTGTTTGCAATTTTATACGGGAAATATTTTCCTTCTAAATTTTGATGGCATTTCTGTTGCCTTCTGTCTCCTAAGTGTGTGTAAAAGCCTAAAGTCATTCTGAGTCTTGGTTTGGATGTGATTGCTTTTTCCATTCTAGAAGCTTCTTGATTCTTCTCTTTGTCACTGATGAAATTCACAAAGATGTGGTTTGCAATGAGTTTATTTTCATTCTCTGTGCTTCGCACAGCCAAAAATCATGAATTATATTTGATTGTAATATTGCTCTAGTGGCTGTTTATCCAGAACAGTTTCCCAGACTTTCTTTTTCATTTTATGACACACAGGGGTCTGAAGGGCTCATGACACATGTTTTGCAGAATGTCTGTAAAATTGTGTTTGTTTCCATAAAATTAAATTTTGATTAGACTTTGGGGGCTGAAATGTATACATGTGTAGTGCTGTGTCATCAGTGCATTATTTTGGGGGCACGTGGTGTTAGTTTGTCTTAATATTGGTGATGTTGAACTTGGCATAATCTGTTTTTAAAATATTTTTATTATATAAATATCACATATTGCATAAAAATTAGCAATAACAATTACTGAACATCACCCACATATAATACTTAGATATATATCCTTCAGACTATAGTGGCTAGGTCTGTTTATTTACAGAAATATGTCATACTATATACAGTATTTTATATCATGCTTCTTTTTCCAGTTAACATTGTATTTGGACAGCTTTCCATGGCAGTCAGTAAAAAATGTGATATAACTATCTGTTTAACATGAAGTGAATTACAATTATTTAAATAACCCCTTATTTTGGGACAAAGGTTTTCCAATTTTCACTTTATAAATAATTCTGTGAAGAATATCTCTTCACATATGTCCTTGCACACATATTCAATTATTCTGTAAGGTAAAATCCTAGGACTGGAATTGCTAAGGCAAAGCACGTGCATTTTTGAAGCACTTTAATGCATGGTGCTGTAATGCCCTTGACAGAGGGCTCAAGCAATGGATAATGCCCAAGACTTCTTCCCCATAGTCTTTGCAGTAATGAGCCTAATTATTGTTTTAAATTTTTGTCATGCTCTTGGATGAAAAAATAATGTTTCATAGTTAGTTCATCATTTTAAACTTCAGATACAATTCACAAACCATAAAATTTAGCTTTGAAAAGTGTACAGTTTGGTGCTTTTCAGTATTACATACTCAGAACTTTGTGTAACCATAGTGTTATCTAATTCTAGAATGTTTTCGCCACTCCCAGAAGAAACCCTCCACACAGTCCCTTCATCCCAGATCTCCTGGCAATCACTAATCTACTTGCTGTCTCTATGGAGTTGTCTTTTCTAGACATCTCATATAAATGCAGTAATAATAGTACGTGGTCTTTGTGTCTGGCTTTTTTCACTTACCAACATGTTTTTAAGGTTCATCCATATTGTAGCATGTAACAGTACTTCATTCCTCTTTATGGCTAAATACTATCCCATTGTACAGATGATACATTTTGAATTACACAAAACCATTTATCTCTTAGCACCTGTTGGACTGTTTCCACTTGTTGAATATTGTGCACAATGCTAGTGTGAATATTTGTGTACAGCTTTTTCTGTGAATATCTCACTTCCATTTTCCAGGATAAAAACCCAGGGGTGGAATTGCTGGGTAATATGGTAATTCTATGTTTAACTTTCTGAGAAAATTCCAAACCATTTTCCAGAGTATACCACTTTACATTCCCACCAGTAATATATGAGTGTTTCTATTTCTTGCTTTGTGTAGATACAGATTTGCAATTAATGCCATATTCCTTCTGCTTAAACAAGGTCCTTTAATGTTT